AAAGAGAGTAATCTTATTCAAATAATATATATATATATATATATATATATTAATTAATTATTCATTTTGCAAGTTAGGTGGATTAGAAGTTGGGTGCATATTTGTATTTTATGATAAGATGCTTTGATTAAAATTTGTAAGTGTCGTCATTAACTTTATAAGTTTTAAAAAAATATATATATTCTCTTCATCTAATTTAAGTTAGGCTCACCATTTCACTTTAACATTTAGTCTTAAAATATATATCATAGTGTTCAATAATTTCATAGTTTTGCATGACATTCAGGAATAAAACATGAGCATCATTCAAATTAAGTAATAATGATATAGGCAAATTCACTCCTTAGGCATATCTAATCATCTTTCTTACTTATATTTTGCATGTTGATGTTTAATCTTTGTAAAACCATCTTTAGGTTACTCTATCCACTTAAATCAAAACTCAGTTGATTGTTCACTAATGTCATTTTAGCTTAGCAAAACAAAACAAAAAACTAACTAAATTGATTATTTTCTTTCAAAGATGTTAAACAACAAATCCATGCAATGTCTCAAAAGAAAAAAAGGAAGAAAGAGGAACACAAGAAAAATAATCAAATATAACATGAAGAAGTCATTCTCACTTATAGTTAATTAATTTTTGTCCAATAATATAAATTTTTTCACAATTTAACTTGTCAATTGACTTAATTTTAAACCATATCTTTTGAAACATTCATTTAATTAACTTGCATAACAAGTCATTCTTTATTATCTTCATTGTCATACCTTGTATGTATCTCCTTTTATCTTGTTGTTTCCTCGTCTCCAAAAAATAAAGAGTTTATCCTTACTAAATGCTTCTAAATCGGAAAGTTTCTAGAAAATTTGAAGATTTCTTACTCGGACAAAATACTCAAATTTCTCATTTGATTAATTTTTATAATCCTTTTATTATAAAAATAATGATTAAAATATTCAAATAGATTGATTTGATAGTATATTTTTGTCAATTTTATAAATTAGACGCATGAACTATGACAATTCATAAATTCTAAAATTTAACACATTTAAATAAAAAATTAGCATACAATTATTTTCTATCAAAAGATTTATGTGATTATGATTCTTCATTATACATAAAGATACATAAGAGTAGAAAAATCATTTCTATCAAGCCATAAAATAAAAAATAGTACTATTGATACTTTTTTTTTCATAACAATTATGATAATAATAACTTTAGTTTTCATTAAAATAAAATAAACACAATTATTAATATTTTTCCAACACATAATTGAATTCCAAACTTGAATTTGTTTTATTATATGATTTTTTCAATGTTATTCTTAAAATAAACATTAATAAAAACTTCCTATTTTTTAATATATTTTTATCGTCCTGTGACAATCTTTAAAGAAAAAATTATTGAAATACAATTTAGAGATAGAGAAAAATAAAAAATAGATTGAAAAGGATAAATAATTTAGAAGAGTAAATGATGAAAAAAAAATGAGTCAGTTAATTTGCTAGTTGTGTAATAGTGTGCAAAATGTACATGCAAATGAAAGAAGAGAAAAAGAAAATTAAGAATACAGTAGAGCATATTAAATTAGTGTCCAAATTATTATGTATTTGAGTAGAAATAACTTAATAAGAATGTTTTATAAGAAAATAAAAGATTATGATAGCATATTAAATTAGCCCAGTTGGCGGTTGCCAGGCAATAGCAAAGCATGGCAGTGAAGGCAATTAAAAGAAAGCATATCTCATGAGTCATGAGTGATGGCATCGTATCATCCTTCACCTCCACATATACATAACTTATTTATTTTCATTTTCATATCAAGATTACAAATCCTCTCATGGCTAGGTTGATTTGTCAACGCATGCAAACAACACATCTCTTTTTCTTCAATCAATAATTATGATATGATTGTGAGCTACAATGGATGCCAGACTTTACGATTATGCAACAATGGAATAAGTCTACCTTGGTGTTATTTAATTATTACGATTATGATGTAAGATATATACCTCTCCACTCTTACATTCCCAAACCTAAGCTGTAGCAAATTCATTTTTAATTTTTAATAAGATTTTCCACCAATTATGCAGATGTGTTCTAAGTCCAATTGTAGTATCTGTGTGATGAGTGTCAAACCTTCAATCCTGATATTTATTACCATATATTGATGAA